TTGCACCCACCTCACATCCTCCTGCTTGTGCAGAGTCAGGTAGACCTCATAGATCTTCCCCCGTGGGATGGCATCAGGTGGGATGAGCAGGCTGATCCCTGGGTGTGGGGAGGGTGCAGGCAGGGGGGTGAGCCCCATGGGGACCCACCTGCACCGGGCAATGCTCTGGCAGCCTGTCCCCATCCCACCGTACCTGTGTTGGGGATCATGAGCCGCCCCCCCAAGAAGTTGAAGGTGCCGTAGGCCATGTTGGTGGTGCCGCGGGGCAGGGAGCGAAAGTAGCTCTGGGTGGAGAGCCGTGCCACGAAGTCAGCTCCCTCAGCGGCGGGCGAGCTGTGGTGCAGCGTATGCCGCCCGGCGCCCAGCGGGCTCAGCAGGTGCCCGTTGGGCAACTGGAGCTTGGCGGGGCCGTCCTGGCGCGGGCAGAGTGAGCCCTGGTAGGTCATGGTGGCGGTGCTGAGGTCGGGCTGGATGGTGAGCAGGCTGGGGTTGTCTGTGGCACAGAGCAGGGGGCCGTGGTGTGCCGGTGACACAGTGGCACAGCCAGCCCCAGGGGACATGCGACACACAGCACTTGCCCCATAGTAAGGACCCTATATGGGGCACAGCCACCAACCCAGCACAGGCTCTATAGGGACCAGGGACCCTATAGAACACAGACCCCCCCCGCCCACAGCCAGGGACCCTACGGAGCACAAAGCACTGACCCCACAGTCAGGGACCCTTAAAGATACAGCCTCCCTGTCTCTAGGTCAGGGATCCCATAGGGTGCAGAGCCCCCACTCAAAACCAGGGACCCCACAGGGCACACAGCCTCTGCCCAGTGTCCCCCCATAGTGGGCACGGCTGCCCCCAAGTCCCAAGAGACACCGTGTCCCAGTGCGGGTGCACAGCCCTGTCCCCGCAGCCCTCGCTCACCGGCCTTGCTGGGCTTGATGCTGACGGGCTGGAAGCCGGCGGTGAGGATGGAGGAGTCAGCCACATCGGCGTCCAGGCCCCCCTTCTTGCGGCAGTACACCAGCACCCCCACCAGCAGCAGCAGCACCAGGCACACGGCCACGGCCACCAGCCCCACGTACAGCGCCACGTCCTCTGCACCGGAGGCGGCTGCGTGGGGCAGGGCGTCAGCACCCGTGGGCATCCCCTGTGCACCCATCCCGAGGCTGGGGGGGGGCACCCCCGCCGTGCCCGCCGGGCTCACCGTGGCTGCAGAGCTCGGAGGTGCAGTTGCGGGTGTCCAGCTCGGGGCCATGGCACTCCTGGCCCCCGTTGCGCGGCGCCGGCTCCGAACATTCCCGGCTCCTCCAGTGGGTGCATTCGGCCCCGCACACCGACCACTTGCTCCACTCTGACCAGGCGCCGTCCACTGTGGGCACAGCTGGGGGTCAGCGCCCCACTGCCATCCCCCCTTCCCTGCCCCGGGGCCGGCAGAGACGGACACACGGGGGGTGGGAGGACGAGACACCCGGTGGGGAAGTGGGGGGACACAGGGACTGTGATGGGTGCAGCAGGGAGTGTGGCATGGTGCAGGTGGCGGCGGTGCCCTGGGCATGGGAGGGGGTACCTGGGCAGAGGGTGGTGCAGGCGGTTTTCTGCACGTTTTGGCCCTCACAGAAAGCCCCCCCATTGAGGGGCGTGGGGTTGGTGCAGGTCCGGCTCCGCTTCTGCCAGCCCCGTCCACAGCTGGTGCTGCAGCCCGACCACTGCGTCCACGTCGACCAGCCGCCATTCACTGGGTGGAGAGGGACCCATCAGCGCCTCGCTGGGACGGGGGAGGTGGGGACACGGGGAGGGACAGGACGGGGAGGGCGACACCGGGGCAGCATGGCGGGGACAGGCGTGGTGGGACTGTACCATAGACGGTGATGGCAGCGGAGGCGCTGCGGCGACGGGCCACGATGTTTTTGGCCACGCAGGTGTAGTTGGCGGTGTCGGCCAGGCGGGCCTGACGCAGCACCAGGCTGTGCTCCGGCGTCACGTAGACGTTGGCGTCCAGCGCCGGGTCCACCAGCTCCTCGTTGCGCAGCCACTCCACCTGTGGGGCACGGGGATGTCACCATGTCACCCCCCCACCCCCAGCCGCATCCTGACCTGCCGGACTGTGGGGGCTCACCTCGGCTGGGGGGATGCCCTCGGGAGGGCGGCATGGCAGCACGATGCCCTGCTCGATGGAGACCTCCCTGGCCGTTGGCTCCTGCTCAAAGTTCTTGCGCAGATCTGGGGAGGTGCAGGGGTGACGGGGGAGCCTGGGGGGAGCACCCCACACCCCATCCGGGCACCCGCAGACACTCACAGGCGATGCGCACGAAGGCTTTCTGGCTCTTGGTGGTGCCGGAGGAGCTCCAGGCCACGCACTGGCACCAGTACTCCTCCAGCCCGAAGATCTTCTCCACTTGCTGGCGGGTCACCTCGATGCGCACCTCCATCACCGGCAGACCTGCCACCAGCAGGCAGGACATCAGCACCAGCACCCCATGGCCCCAGCCTCATGCAAACCCTCTCCAAGAACACGTGGCTCCTGGTGACCGGGTCTGGTGCCGTCCCTCCCGCCGGCACTCACCGGTGCCACGGTCGGTGCTGTGCTGCGTGACGTGGTCGCCCTGGTGCACCCACTCGCCGTTGCACTTGAAGTAGATCTGGGTGGCAGGGGTGGCACGGCAGGCCAG